CCCGTAACCCTGGCGGTTTATTTGCAGAGACGGCCCTGGAAGGAGGAGAGATGCAAGAGGAGGGAGAGTGAGAGGGGTAAGGAGCTCCCGGAGCTGCGTGAGTGACCCTCGCCCCGGGGGTTCCCTCCGGCCGCACTGGGAGGGGACGGGACGGGATGGGCCGCAGGTCCCGGCGTTGGGGGCTTGAAGTCACTTGTGTTCCAGGGTGTGGGAGTGGGGGATTGACTGCCTGGAAGGAGCTGAGGCACAGGGTATGTCCCCTGCCAGGCACCTGTTCCGACAGAGGCTCGGTTGGTTGGGGTGAAGGCTATGCATGTGTCAGAGAACGGCACCAAAGTTCTAGCTCTGGTGTGTGGGTTTGGGCTTCGAAACTTTGTCCGGCATGTTTGGGGTATTTCTGGAGCATGTCCAGATGTGCTCGTTCTAAAGATCTAGTGGTACTTGAACTTTTTGGTGCTTATGAGCTTTGTGGAGGCATTTCTGCATTTGATCTAATAGCCTGCGTGGCCTTCGGCATCCTTAGTATTTTGCAGCAATTAAGCGTAAAAGCTCCTTGTTACTGAACAAAGATCTTGGGCAGACATAAACCAACATTGTAAACCAATCCCGAGTGTCATACTCAGGGCCTTTTGTCAACTGAAAACTCTACACGGAATAGAAAATAAAAGCTAGATATCTGGAGAATAAAGAAAACCATATTAAAAGTCAACCTCTAAATACCTGCATATCCAACCTTGATTGTGCCTTCCAGAAACACAGCCTCTACCTCACCGTATACTTGCACGTGCTTTTATCTGTGTGTTTGTGGTTAAAGTGATGACCTGCAAAGAAGTTTAAGTCCAGCACGTTAAGTATGTGATTCTGTGAAGTACTCTGAGATCTAAACTCCAGATTCCTTGTCCCTTGTGAGTTCTCTGGTTCACTCGGTTGTTTATTTGGTGTATGTACATTTGTGGTCTGTACATAGAAGGTGTTTTTGGTTTATATCAGGAGGGTACGTTGACATCTGTCTGATACTAGACTGGTGAATAGGAAGAAGGTCCCATCTCTGGCCTGTTTGTGGAAGCTGGGATGATGAAGGCACTGCAGTGGGAACGTGCTGTGGTACAGGGTTGAAGCTCCAGCCCATGTCTGGTAGTTATAGAGCAATTGGAAGGGTTACGTGCAGAGTTCTGGTAAAGTAAGTGTGAGCAGTGTTAAAGTGGGGGCTGCGAATAGGGGTGCATGTTTTCAAAATATCCTTTAGCCTAAAAGCGGGATAGGGGAGGGACAGCTGTGGGTGTTAGGGCAGGAGTTTGGTGGAGGAGTCTTATCTTTGTTTTCTCCCTTTGGAAGACTGGCTTGCTAGTGAGATTGCATGAAAGCTTCAACTCTTACACCATTTCTCCTTTTCTTCCACATTCTTATAACTTCATCACACTTCAGCCTTTCAAGCCAAAAATGTTGAGGCCTGATGTCTGCTCAAGCATGAAGATTTCTGGATGGGGAGGTGGCTTCTAAAAGACTTTAACGAAAACAACGTAGTCATCTTTTGAGAATCAATAGAGCTTTACTTTAACTTGCACACTCTGTAAACTGGGCAAACAAAAGCTAGGTGCCCTGTGAAGTTCTGACAGGGGACTAGATGGAGACAGGAGACCACTAAGAGCCCTTGCCTGTGCTAGTCCGGATTTTAGAATCTGGAAATGGAGTTGCCTTTCATAACTTGTACTCTTTAAATAAGCAAGCTGTTGTAAGATTTTTGTTTAAATTGGCACCTTTCTGTTTAACTCCTGAAGTTCACAGTTGAATCCAAGGGAGCCTTGGACAATTACAAAGTTTATTTGGAACATGCTTCTGATTATTACATGAGATTTTATGTTTTTACAGAATCAGCTTCACTTTGATGTTTTTAATGTGGAAGCTAAGCAAGTAAGGGCTTATTTTAAAAAGGAAAAGCAAACAAACAATCACCCAAACCCCAAACTTGACATTCCAAACAAAAACCTTCCCTTAATTCAGGTGCTGCTCAATTGCAAAAAATGTGTTACCTCTTCATATGTGCCCATGCTGTGAAAGAAAAAAGTCATGTAATTAAGTGTTACATACATAGGGCCTTGCTGTGGGCAGTGTACTTGATAATTAATTTGGGTCAGAAAAGAAAGCAGAGGAAGGAAGGGAAGAGTCTCGCCCCATCAGATTCTGATTGAATCACAGCAATGTAAATCCAGAGTAATTCAGTCAGGCAACTGGCAGTCTGACTGCATGCCACCGATGCAAGGTAAATAATTCATCCTTAAGTGTGTTTATTGGTTGATTTGTAGTGAGTAAGGCAGGAATACTTGGCTTTGCTGTTGCGCGAGCAATTCATAAAAACAAAATTATCAGGTAATTTGGTTCATTTAAATACTGCTTCTCTACACAGAGGAAAATTATCTTTGTGTTTTGGCTCACGCACAGCAATTCCACATGTATTTATTCTGCCCTAATATACTTCTGGAAAGTAAGTGTTTCATGCTACTTGGGGCATGCTCCTCAGCTTATCTGATGATTGAGGTAGGCCCTTCAGAAACAGTATTTACTCATTAATTCGACTACTGCCACATCATAACAGAAATAGGAGTTGGACAATTTGCAGGTAGCTGCATGGGAAACCTACAATGCTTGCTTTTTTGAAGCAGTTTGTTCTGCCAGATGTTCTCTGAGCATAGTTTTGATCACGTGTATTTTACCTACCAGTTTTGCCATATGTGTTCAGGAACAGGTGCATCTTCTGCTTTAGGAAATATTCTTTTTTTAATTTATTTAGTTTTTGAATAGCATTTTCACAAATGTAACAAACTTTGCCTGCTAATGCTATTACACAGAGTAATGTAAGGATTAGAATGGAAAGGGCTTCTTCAGCCCCTAAAGAGATTACGCCTCTGTCTTCAGAGGGCTATTTTTTGGTGTCTTAATGGCTCCTCTGACTGCATGGAGAGTTGAGATGGAGCAGTGGGCACTTGACCAGGGACAGAATCCTACAGAATCTTGTCCCAAAGACGGGAATGAAATGGGCAATAGAGAGCTGTGGCATGATCTCACTTGGAAGTAGGGTATCTCAGAGCAGGGTAGTCAGGTTATTTTCCCACTGCCTAGTCTCACTGGATGAGAGTGGAGGATCTTGTCTGTCAGGAATATTGAGTGATATTTCCCAAGAGTGGGGCTGGGGTGGTCAGAGCAGAGAGCAGCAGGAAGTTAGGAGCCCTTAGTTTGACTTCTTGGTCTGCTGTGGCTGTCTGTTATCTTGGGCAAGTCTGTTTCCCTCTCTCTGCCTGTCTTTCTTCCTGTGTAACACAACGCTAATGTCCCCTTGCTGCATCATCTGGGTCCTTAGTGTTGAGCTGGGGTGGAGGGACAGGCAAGGTCCAAAATTTTCACTGCTTGTGGGGCCAGACTGTCTATGACAGTGAAAAATGGTTTTCAGCTGTATTTGCCTGGTTGCAGATGCACAGACTTCATCATTTATGCCATGTACTTGGGTGGATGATAATTGGGGAATTTTTTAGGTGTTCTGGGTTTGTAGTCAGTCCATTTTTAAATTTTTTTTGCATGGAGGACTATTGGGCAAGAGGCATTTGAGATGGGCCCAAGCCTGTGGGACTAGCAGACACCTTTTTTCCCTGAAAATAATTTTTGGATTTGGGCAGATAGCTCAGAAGTGGGGAGAAGTTGCTCAAGTAAGAAAGGGGAGATTAAGGAACTGTCACAGCGTTAGACTGAGTCAGTTCCATGTTGGAGTCCCTTTGGGTTTAATGTTCTTTTTGTGTGTCTGTCTGTCTCTCTTCTCCTCCATTCCTCTTCCCTTCCCCCTTCTTCTTCCCCCCTGTGCCCAGCTAGGATGGAAGAATCTCATTTCAACTCCTCCCCGTACTTCTGGCCAGCAGTGCCCACTGTCTCGGGACAGGTAAGGTCTTTGTCTTTCAATCTATCATGTTGTCTTGTTTCCTGGTAGAAGTTCATGCATAAGTGTTTCTGTTGCATTTCTTGCTCAGCAAACTGCTGGGAGAAGCTGTGCCAGGGTATTCTAAAAGCTGTTCTTCCCACCCATTTAGATTGAAAACACCATGTTTATTAACAAGATGAAGGAGCAGCTATTGCCCACAGAGAAGGGCTGCAGCCTGGCTCCCCCCCACTACCCTGCCTTGCTGACGGTACCCACCTCTGTGGCCCTACCCACTGGTATCTCCATGGACTCGGACACGAAACCGGAGCAGCTGACACCACACAGCCAAGCCCCTGTGACTCAGAACATCACCGTGGTACCAGTGCAGTCTGCTGGGCTCATGACAGCAGGTAGGGGACTCCAAAGACTTTGGTGACACATGAAGGATATTCTGGGATGGGGGAGCAGAGGGTTCTGGAGAATTCTTTTCAGACTGTAAATTATTCCTAGCCGTACCGATGGTGTGGACTGCCTTGGCATGGTTTCACTGTGAATCTCTAGGCACTCCATATGTCCACCTTCTTTTTGGAAGTTTGACTTCCAGCAGCAGAGACTGGGAATGTGTAAGCTACTCTTCTGTTTGGGTTATAGTCAAAAGTAGGTGTATAAAGTTCACTTCTGTGCGATAAGAAGGTTGAACATAGAGATGTAATAACTGACTTCCTCCACCTTTCTTTGTTTGCAGGTCCTGGTCTGGTGATAACTTCCCCATCAGGTTCCCTGGTGACCACAGCCTCCTCTGCCCAAACCTTTCCCATCTCGGCTCCTATGATTGTCTCTGCACTACCCCCTGGCTCCCAGGCAGCCCTCCAGGTGGTTCCTGACCTGTCCAAGAAAGGGACAACCACCCTCTCCGAAGGTGGTGGGGGTGGTGGGGGTGGGGGAGTTGCCCCCAAACCACCCCGGGGCCGGAAGAAGAAACGATTGCAGGAGTCGGGGCTGCCAGAGATGAGTGACCCCTTTGTGCTGTCAAACGAGGATGATGAGGACCAGCACAAGGATGGCAAGACATACAGGTGGGGAGCGGGGTTAAACCTTGACTGTAACATTGCATGGGGAGGGGGTGTATTTAACCCTTCAGAGGGTTGCACGGGGAAGAAGAGATCTCTGCCTTTTCCCTGTAGAGTTCCCAAGTAGAGAATCTTTCAGCTGCAGGAAAAGTTGAGTTTTCCCCTCTAATCAGAAGTGTTTGTAAGCTAGTGGGTTGACCCAAAACTAAGGATCTCCTTCTTAGTGGTCAGCCTTGATTTCCTGGATATACAGATGTTAATGTTACTAGGTTAGTTAATGACCAGGATGTTATGGAGGCTAAACCATATCCTTGATGCCACAGCCGGCTAGTATGGCTGGTGCAACTGGAGCACTTCTGGTGTAGCTGAGAGCCCTAGCGTACCTGGGTGCTCCTGAATTGGGACTCCAATCCGTCCAGTGTAAAGACTACAAACTGGAGGCACACAGAGCACGAAATGAACTGTGGTGATAGTGTCTGCTCCTGTGTGCGTTGCCCCTTGTGATCTCCTATTTCAGTATTCCCAATAACACAGGGAAAAAAATTGTATTTATTTCTGAATTAGGTATAAGGGTGTTTCTGAGCCCTAAGCGTATCAGATAAGAGGGGGGAGAGTTCTGAGCCCTGAGGTTGGGTTTCTGAGCTTGGACGGATGTGGCTTGAGTTTACAAGTGAGTGGTGGGAAATGGAAAGATTAACTAGGAGGGAATACTTAAACCAGAGGATAAGGAGTGCAGGTGTTTTAGAGAAGGTGGGAACGAACCGGACAGAGCAGGCGAGTGCTGGGGAGGAAATGTGAGGTCTGCGTTGGGAAGGAGGAGCACATATGGGTGATTTAGTGATAGGTGTTTCTGAGGGATGATTAAGATCAGTAAGAGGCAAAGTAGTGTAGCCAGATGGAAACAGAAGTAGAAGATGGTCCCTAGCTCCTCTCACTTCTCTCCTATGTGCCCATGATCATGCCTCAAACACTTTCCCTTTTGCCATCCTAGACCCTCTTTTTTTTTGCAGATTTAGTTACAGTTCTGGAATTAAGTCATAACGATGTGAAGCCATCCACACAGAATCAGTGCATCCATCCCAGGCACTGTTTCATTTTTAACTATAGCATTTTAAAAATGTTTACATTTTTAAATCAATACAGTTAAATGGGTACAAAACCAGAACTTGGATCAGCCCTTTTATTCTCTTACCAAATGTCCCAGTTCTTCCACTTTGAAAATATAATCAGCGTATGGTGAAGAGGGGTGGGGAGTGTTAGGTAGCTTGCTATTTGTAATCCCACCATTTATTTTGGGCCTTAGCCACAATTCCACACTACTCAAGCTGCTTACAGTCTGGGTTGCTAATTAGGTTGTTAAATATGTATTTACAGGGGACACAATTGGCAGTGAACACTAGAATTAAAGCTGAACCAAGGCTTTAATTATAGCTCCTTGTTTACTTGTAAGTTTGGAAAAAAAATGCCCAAGACCAGGTGGAGTGACTCAGCAGAAACTTTATGAACATGCATAGTCTGTGTAACAGCTCATGAAAAAAGACTTTGCAGGAAAAAAACCGAATGAGTTTATATGTAGGAACAAGTAATCAGGAAGATTTCTGTCTTCATGTTAAATTTGAGTGTGATACCTCTGCCTCTTCCTCCAGCCTCCATCCCAAGCAGGCCTCCCTCTGAGCAGCACTAGGGTGCTAGATAGTTAAATTGAGATTTATTGAAGACCATCAAGGAGTACTTCTGCCCTCCTTGGGATCTCGTCTTTGGCTGATGCTTTCCATGTGCAAGTTCGGAACTAAAAATAATTGTTGGAAAAATAAAGGAAAATACTATCTTCTCTTGGAGCTGTGGGAGAGAAAACCTTTGTGAAATACAGTAAAATTGTTTCTCCATAATATACATAAATAACCTTGCAAGTTTAAACTTTGAGAACTCCTGAGTTCCTTCTGCAGTCTAGAGGATTATTTGGGTAGTTCCTGTTACTACAGTATGCAGACATATCCTAGCTAAATTAAGACTGTGGGTGAGGTTCATCTCCTCCTGCACCCTTCTGCGGCTGTAGGAGGAGTTGCTTGTGGCATTCATATGTCTACGCTTATATGATTTCACTGACTCTTATGATGATACGCTGAGGACAATCTAGTCAGATGCCTGAAATGAGTTGTATTTTATTGATCAATATGACCTTTTTTTTAAATACCTAATTCCTAAAGCCTGGGATTATTTTGTTGAATTTAATTATCTTTCAGTTTTAAGGGGGTTTTTTTGAGCTCTCTGAACTCTTGTCCTTAGTGCCTGGGCAGGTGGCTGATTTCCCTAATTCCTCACTCTTGATGTATTGGCAAAGACAGAGTAAGGCCTTGAATGGGCAGCACAGCAAGACAGACTTGGAAGGAATTGGAGCACAAAGGTGGTACTCGTATTGTAGCACATCCCATTCTCTACTGAATATAGAAATTCCTGCTTCAGCCAATGGCAGCTCTTTTGCTGCTGCATCATCTCTAGAAGTCAATTAGTAGTCTGCTGCAAAAGTGGTGCAAGAATCTTTGTGACGATTTTTCTTTGTAAGAAAAGGTGTGAGGCTTTTCCTAATGATGTTGTTGCTTGCAGATCTTGGACATCTAGCCTAAGGATTAGTCTGGCAGAGTCCTTGGTGCTTTGCTTTGTGTTATTAGAAGAAAGCTTGCACCTGCAGGGGACAGCATCTAACCCAGTCCTGTGAAGCATTTTTCTTCATGAGTAATGTCACATCAGTCTTGTCTGGATTCATTGTCAGCTCTTTGTTAATCTCCCCTGACATCTTTGTAGTGGAAAATTTACTTTTTCCTTGGAAAATGAGATCAGCATCAAGAATCTTTCTAGTAAGATGCTGGCAGTGTGAACCACGTGGCTTCTCAGTGCTTTAAAATGTGCTGAGGAAGGCAGAGTGAGCATAGGTCCCGGAGACAGTAGTATTGTTTCTTAGTACTGTTTTGGTGCCTGTACCTGTGCACTTTTAGAAGTTTGTGGTGTGATGTGATCAGTGGACAAGACTGATGAAGTGGTTCAGCCTATCTGGGCCAGGTCATCAGTTCTCTCTCTCTGACAAACAGTTCTCTAGTTTCTTCTTTGCAAGAGGAAAAGAGCTCTTTATAGGTGTTGCTTGGTTCCAGTATTAAGTTTGTAAAGACTAGGACGAATACCAGTTTAGAGTCTGGAATGGTTATTCAAACTGTGCTTTGGAGCCTAGGACACCAACAGGAAAATTGTAGGCTTGAGAAGGGCCTTGCCATCCTACTGGAAACAAGAAGCGCTCTGTTCCCCACGGCTAGTTCTGAGTTTCCCTACTTCTACTAGGCTGCGGGAACAGCAGAGGGGTTGGATCTGGGAGACAATGAGCAGCTGAGGGACATAGGAAGCTTCTGAGGCAAGTCCAGGGTGAAGAAGGACACAGAAAGCTTTGCAAGGAACTGAGTTGACCTGTAGAAGGCAAAGCAGCTGGATGGAGGCCTGCTTTAGTGAGGAAATTAGGGACACAAGGGGAGCCAGTGGTTTGAACATAGCAGGTGGCTATGTTCTGAGACATGTCTTGTTTTAAGCCTTTTCTTCTGCCCTATAGTGGATTTAGCATTGCTGTTTGGTGAACTTCTCATGGTTTTGAATAGATTTGAAATCTGGTGGCTATGGCTTTTTTTCTGTGAAAATATGGTCAAATTTGGCCAAGTTGTAAGCTTGGGGAAAAAAATCTGTTAAGCATACTGTAAGATGCTTTATAGTTTGGTAGTTGAAATATGCGAAGATTATATCCTCTTTGATGTTTCTTGAGGCTTACTCGACTCCAGGCACTGACCAGACTGTCTATCTCCACAGAAGAGATAAATACACTCTAACCTCTCTCTATTTCTATATGAGGCTGGACTACATGTGTACTCTCTCTGCAGCAATAAGCATCTTCTAGTCTACCCCTGAAGGGCCACGCATGCTTTTCCTTCAGTCACAACTGCCCCTTCTGCTTCAGAAGGGAGTCTTTTGTGCCCAATGTTGATGGTAGCCTCCTCCCTCTCTGATGGGCAGAAAGGCAAGGTGCAAGAAGACACTGCTTGGTTCAAATGTAGCAGGGATGAGAATGAGATGTGGTCAGGGTCTGGAGCAGGTTATGTCCAGGAAGTCTGGAAATGTGGTAGACGAGAGATGAGAATTGGAAAAAAGGAGGGAGAAAAGACTGGAGCCTACAAACTAGGGAATGCAGATGAGGATGTGATGGGGGGTCTGTTTGCAAGGGAGAGACTGCGCAGAGATAAGCTATGGAGGACCAAGACTGAGGGAGGGAAGAAAGAAGCAGATCTGCTAGGGGATGGAAAATGAGGAGATACATAGGATTAGCAGAACAGATGGGGACAAGAGCATGGGATGTGGACAGACAAATAGAAGCGTGTGGGAGAGGAGACAAATGTTAGGTAATTGGAGGAATGAAATAGAGAAGAGCCATTGCAGTAGACGATAAGGAGGGTGAGGCATGTGGGTAGAGAGCTTGGGCCTGGGTCTTGGTGCAGGAGAGAGGGGATTGCAACAGGCTAGAAGGCTAAGGGCAAAAGGGGAATTAAGTTTGAAGTGTCAGGCAGAAGTTTGACCACATCCCCTCCAAAGCCTAGAAATATTAAACCCAATATTTCTAAATTTTGCCATGTCTCTAATGTCAGCACAAGAACATGAGCTCCTCTGGCAAAGAACTTCACCCCCCTCTAAGGCTAGCAAAAGGCAACAAACTACCGTTGCTATCATTTATCATCCTAGCTGCAGTGGCAGAGGTCTGTGCAGTGGATCTTAAGATTGCTGATGACCAACGTGGGTGTCAGTATGATGCCACATGTTGGAATTTCTGTTTGCTTTTTTTAACAAGTAGTTCCGTGAGCAGCGGAACTAATGAAGCCTGGTTTCCAGCGGCTCTCTCCTGTGTGGATTCTCTGATGTCTAATCAAGGGTGAGCTTACTAGCCTTTCCCTCAGAGGAAAGAGGGTCTCTCTTCTTTCCCC